ATTATTATAATTTCGACGGTACCGTTAAAAACTTAAGGCTTTTGCCCTATATTTTTATTCGGAACGTTCCAATTATCGCATTTTTGAACTGTTTTTCTGCTGTCTAATGTCATTCGACAATTTTGGTCATTAGACTAAATGCCATCATGAGACGATTTGCTAATAAACGAAAGGGAAGAAAATTAAATTGTTTTATTAAGAATAAATTAATTTCAATGTATTGTGATAAAATAAACGTAAATTAAAAGCATTAAGTTCATATAGCAATTTATAAAATCTAAATGGTGCGATAAATATACGAACCGCGTAATTACAAACATAATAGGATCTTGACTTTCATGCGTCGAATGCCAATACTAACAGATCTAAAAAACTAACAAGTTTAACGCGGACATTAAGAGCATTAAGTGCCAATTTACGTCTATTTATGTTTAAGTAATATAAAAAAAAGCAATGAAATGGTTTTAAATGACTTCCAATGACATCATTATAAATTTCAAGTCAATATGATTTGAAATATGACCTTATGATTTGACATCATCGATATGAAGAATATACCTAATAATAATTTTTTTATGCGATTATTAATTATTTTTATACTGGTTACAGTTTATATAATAATAAAAGATATGTTGTAGATGGATTAGCGTTTCCGATAACTTGTTTTTTTTTTATTTAACGATTAGATTACTGAAATAGCTAATTATAACTAAATTTAAATTCTAATATTGAATATTTAATCTCCTCTAGACTACAAAATCATACATAATGATGTTAGTCGAGAACTACATTCTTCCTTGTAAAGGTCTATGCTCTATTCTCTTCACAGATTATAATTAATGATTAGAGATAATGCAAAATGTAAACGAACCCACTATGAGAAATTAAAACAAAGCTATCGTTATAATTATAAATTACTTTAAATTCAATAAGATCATAGTCCTAAATAAATCTTTATAACGGTCAAATACTTTATTATTATTTTTAAAATATCGAAAATTGTAATATTAACTATTGCCTCTCAAGAAATTACAAAATTTGTAAGCTATTTTTTTATTATTATAAAAAACAAATTTGTCAAAAAATGGAAAGATATTACATAGCTTTAGATTTAAGAATTTTGAAAATTTAGATTCCAATGTTTATGCAATTTCATTATTAAGAAAATATTTCAATGACAGTTTTTAGAATTTCATGTATCATAACAAGATCATTATTTAATAATGGAACATTTATAATAAACAAAATATGATGACTTGACTACTAAAATTAACAAATTCTTTTTTTATATATATATAAAAATATATCATCCAAACCCTACTACTATTATCGCGAATAAAACCGAAAGCAATATTTATCGAGTTGGCCGGCATTCGAAAATTTTTTCATTTCTTCTACGTTCGACATGATCTGTCATTTCTGTCATTTCGTCAATTCTGCCAGTTCTGGCATTTCGGACCTTTCTGACTTTCTGGCCTATCTGGAAGAATTGTAATTTCAGACATTTCTGACGTCAGGATCAAATTAATTTGTTTATCAGTCCATTAGCCGCGATTGTTTGATAACAAAGCCATGAGAATAAGAAATTTTTATAACAAGGAGTGAGTTCGATTTGCTTTACATTTTCAATAGGGTTAGATTGGATTTGTTCTTTTCCCTTAAGGCCTATTACAGAGCGCCGGTTGAGGCAGTATTAGTTGATCTTATTTGTATTTTGTTAAATAAAATTCGTTTGCTACATTGATCTACATTCGCCTATTAGTAAATATCGTTATAGTCACTCGGGCATTCATAATCTGAGGATGCCACTCGAGCATTTGTCTAGAATCTTCCGACACGAATTTCTTGCAGCGAGCACACATCGTCATGAATTTTATATTTGCACCATCGACAACTAAAGTTAAGTCATGTAAGGGAGATATCGGATTCAACAAAATTTCAAACAATGCATTTAAGTTATGATAAGTTGTCTAACATTAATTATTCCATATGGCCGAGTTATTTATCGAGCACCAGCACTTTTGAGCATGAGGGGATATATAGCAAAACTTAGATTGGCATATTTCACCTCGTCAATTACGATGAACAAGACCAAATCTTCTGCAAAAACCCAGATTTCGGATCTTAAATTCTAATGAAATTACAGAATTCGCTACAATTAGGTTCCGATAAGTCGATTTCTTCATTTGAATATTCGTTAATTAGACATTTAGATATTATTTTAAATGCATCAGCCCAATCCTTCTTCCATCCCGGAGTATTATTTATAAGGAATCAAGATGTCTGACTACAGCAGAAACGTCCGGTTTACCAGTTTTCTGAGTACTTTTGGAAGTGTTGATCTTCCGCATTGCATTGGGAAGGATTACGTTCATTGGATTTTTCAGATTTTTATTTTAATCACGTGGCCGGTAACGATGTAGATCAATTTTTAAAATGATTTTTATTAATTAGATATCAAATATTACTGCCTCAGCCGGTGCTTAATAATAGTCCTTAAGAGAAAACACTCTAATTTTGTTCTATCGAAAATTCAAAGCGAAACAATGTCTTTTTATAACAAAATTTTCTTCTTATGGCTTAAGTTTAATTAATTGATGGGTCAGATCGACTTCGGATATTTATTATTTGAAGATATTTAGTTAACTCTCCCTTTTATCAAAGTAAAGATACAAGAAATTTAAATAAAATACATCAATAAGAAATCGATATTTAATATAGTAAAGATATAATTATAATAATAAAACTAAGAAATAGTTTAGAAAACTATTGTTAAGTCTGAAATACAAGTGTAAATAAAAAATTTGTAAGAATTTAAAGTACCACCTCCAAAAAAATCCCGATTTATAATATATCTTAATAAATAATATGAAAAGCCCATTTCTATTAAAAAAAATTAGTAAAATCTAAAAAATCACCATGTAAGAATTCCGATTTGTAGACTTATCTTAGCCAATAGTAAAAAAGTCCATTTTTATTAAAAAAAGAAAGAGAAATAAAATAAAATAAAAAGTTTTTTTAAAAAAAAGGAGAAAGAATAAAGATTTCAGTTTTCTAAAAAAAGTTTAAATATATAAGACTTACTATGATGATATTCAATTTTATAGTAAATAAATTATATATAAAAAGTATATAAAAGATAAAATTCATATTCTAATACTGAATTTTACATTTAAAATGATAAAAACCATTATCAATTGATAACATTTTTATCAAATTATTAATGAATTTTATCAATCATTAATTATTAATGAATATTCATTAATGATTTGATGAATATGTCAATTAATAATGAATTGACTGAAATTAGAGGTAGGACTCGAGTTAAAATGAGTTGACTTGAGTCATATCGAGTCAGGATGATTATGACTCGAAGAGTGTTCAAGTTAAAGTTCGAATTAGAATTCGAGTTAAGCATTCGAGTTGGCCTTCGGGGTTAGTAAATTAAGTTTTATTTAATA